AGGAATTGCCGATCTAATGAGCAAAGAAGTTGTGTCACCGAGCTATTCTCGACCACCGAGGCGACTTGCCGAGCTGCCACCCGCTGAGGTGCCGAGCACCGAGCTGTCGAGACGCTGACCTGCCGAGCGTTGAGCTGCCGTGAAGCCAACGCCGAACTGCCCCATACCGACCTGACGAGCCGTCCGTGTGCCCATATGCCAAGCTCGCATGGATGCCGAGCTACTCGCATGCCGCGATGCCTAGCTGAGGCCGAGCAGAGGATGCTAGTCCTGGCACGACGCTGAGCTGCCACTTTTGCCGATGCCGAGGTGACGAGCCATAAGCTGCCGCGAGTGGCGACCAAACACACGCCGATGTCGAGCTGCCGACCCACCGTGAGTGCCGACCAGACCACAACGCCAACCACCCCGTGATGCCGAGCCGGTAACACCGACCACCCCATGATGCCGATGCCGAGGTGAGAGCGTCGATGCCGAGGTGAGAGTGCCAAGCCCATGTGCTCACCTACCATGTGTTGCACATTTTTCCTTTTTTCTCACCTATATATCCCCAACTTGTTCCCTAAGACATAATCTCCTCTTTTGATTTGATATTGAATGGAGGATCAAGATTGACCAAGCCTTCACCTACCAAGGCTCACATTCTTCTATAAATACTTATCTCCCCCATTCATCATTCACCACTTCGACATTCACCTTCTTCTCCCTTACATAAATTCTTTCTCTAAAAATTCAGTTCCAGACAATTTTCCTTTCGACGATCTCAAACTTCCCGACGACCACGTGTTCCAGCCGACCACACGCCACCTCGCCCAGCACTCCGTCCACACGCCGAGCTCCCTCGTCCCAACGACTACGCACCGGCTTCTTCACCTTCCTCACACCATGTCGGCATCAGCAAGCTTCATGGGTATGCCGACCTCCTTTCAGTACTTTATTTGTCATAACTGTTTTTGTAGTAAACTACCTCACATGCTTGCATTTTATTTTTATCTCTTTTGTCTATGTCGTACTCCTTGCTTGCCCTATGTATTTCGATCGTTATTTTTCCTACGTACACCTTAAAACAATCCACCCATACGAGTAACACTAGCTCTACCTCGACGAGCAACACTAGCTCTACCTCTACGAGTAATACAAGCTCCACCTCTCCTTCTACTTCACATTCTTCACCCTTAGGATCACCCTCCATGCCATAGCTCTCCCGACCTCGACGTCCATGACCTCCAATGCGCCTACCTCTTATACTACAAAAGAGGGTGCTACCCGCTCCCGAGCCATATCCTCCAACCCGATCTCCTCCTACTCGGATATCCAAATAGCCTTGCTTGTCAAACAAATGGAGTTGCCCCGAGGTTGGGAACTTAGAGTTCCACGACCCGATGACTCCTACGAGAATCCCCCATCCAACTGTTATAGCTTCTTTCAAAACCAAGTGAATGTCGGGCTACGATTCCCTATATATCCCGACTTACTCCAATTGAGCCAATTGTATAACTTACCTTTGAACCAATTTCCTCCCAACACGATCATGGTTTTCCGAGCCCGCCTTGGCAAACTGGATCCCAAGCTATGTCTCTACTGCTTATGTCTCAGATTGAGCGACACACCCCTATCTTATGCGCCGCAACAAGGTATGTTTCTTAGACTAACCAAAATAAAAAATTCATAACTAGAGAACCAAATTTTTCTTTGTACGTCACCCTCCCGATACATCCGACCTTCCCTCCGATTGGCTTTTCGAGCTACTAGGCCAGCGCAAGAACCCAAGGTGGAACACTGAATACGACACCCTCATCCGCCAGTGGAATGATCACCCGCTCCATGTGGTGAAGCCACCTCCCATGACCGACTTCTTCAACATTTCCGACTGTCCAGATGTGCCACTGACCCCGTGGATGACATAGGTAGGCACTTGGTGCTGTGGGCGACTACCACACTGCCCACTTCCCTTTTCATAACATTACGTTCCGTTTTACATAAATGTCATGCTCATGTTTTTATTGTTTCCTGCCTCTTGTCTTCTAGAAGAGCTTATGGAAAACATCGCCTCCGCCAAGGTCCCGAAAGCTACCGTCGTCCCCAACGAGACCCAGCCGGCTTCCATCATTGCCGACGAGGTCCCGATGGCCACCGACTAGCCGCCGCAGCAGGCGACCCGCCCTGGGGACACCAGTAAGGTCACCTCCCAGCAACGCTATCGCAAGCCACCCTCCGCGGACTTTACAAAAAAGCACAAAGCCACCACCCAGAGTAAGAAGGATACCATCTCCAAGCCGAATCACTTCGCTAGCAATAAAGACACATCAGAGATAAACTCCTACTTCCTCTCCATCTTCCCCGAATGTAAGACAACCAAATGGCCTACCAAGCAGGAGTGAGCTCATGACACCATGTACCACCTTAGTCAGGTATAAACCCATGACTTAACTTTTTGCCTTAGAACATAATAACACGAATTTAATGTGAGACAACCTTTACTTCCTTAAACAGGCCATGGCTGGCTTAGCTCCCATCCTCAGCGAGGCTTTGGATGGCGACTCCGACGAAGTGGAAGAGTTGAAGAGCGAGGTGGCAAAGAGGGATGATCGACTTGCTACCCTCAAGAAGGCCCTCGCTCAGGAGAAGGCCGAGAAGGAAAACCTTTAGGTGGCACTAGAAGTTAAGAACGCCGAGCTGAAGGCGCTTCGACAGTCAATCAACTAGTGCGTTACCCAGGCCCATGAAAAAGGCCGAGATTCTTTTCTGTCCTTGGATCTTGGAGGTCGCTTCCTCAAGTGCTACCATGCCGAGCTGCGGTCGCGTTACCACGACTCAACGGCTTTTCTCCATCGGGTTGTCACGTCCTGCCTTCAGTATTTCTAGGATGGAGTCGAGCGGACCCAAGTCGAGGCGAAGACCCAAGGCTTCACTTTTTTCGTGGATGCTAGCAAGTTAGAAGAGGCCGTAGAGGCCACTACAGAGGATTGGAATGGCGACGAGTCTCTCCCTGTGACCCATCATTGGTGGGAGTCAGCCGTAGAAGCCGCTACAGAGGCTGCTGCAAAGGAGGTAGAGAAGACCCTCGAGTAAGAGGACGCTGCGCCGCCTTTGTCGATTTACATGTGATTTCCTTTTGTGTTGAAGTAGATGTGTTGAACGAACTCTTGTTATTTTGGCATGTAACCTTGAACTTGTTTAGTCATATATTTTGGTATGTTCAATGAACCATGTTTATCTTTTCCAACTTATGTGAACTGTCTTCACTCATTGCCTGTTGGCACCATGCCTTAATGAAACGTTTACTGTTTGCCGTTACTTCTGTCAATTGCCGCATACTTATATAATTCATTATCGTACAAGTAACAATATATATCCTTTCGTGACGAGCTTCATTCACCAAGTCTTTCAAACACTTAGCATCGTGACAATGGGCTTTTGCACCTAACACAATTATTGCTAAGTGTTTTAAGACTCGTATGCCCCACTTTATACGACGACCTTGACAACTATAGAGATTGTCGCCTAGCTCCGCAAGCTTAGACGAGACTAGCAGGCTTTTTCCCTTTAGAGGTCGTCGCCTAGCTCTGCGAGCTCAGGTGAGACTAACAAGCTTTCTCCCTACGAAGGTCGTCGCCTAGCTCAATGAGCTTAGGTGAGACTAACAGGCTTTCGCCCTATAGAGGTCATCGCCTAGCTCCGCGAGCGTAGGTGAGACTAACAGGCTTTCGCTCTACGAAGGTCGTCGCCTAGCTCCGCGAGCTTAGGTGAGACTAACAGGCTTTCACCCTACGAAGGTCGTCGCCTAGCTCAGCGAGCTTAGGTGAGACTAGCAGGCTTTCGCTCTATAGAGGTCGTCGCCTAGCTCCACGAGCTTAGGTGAGACTAACAGGCTTTTGCCCTACAAAGGTCGTCACCTAGCTCCGTGGGCTTAGGTGAGACTAACAGGCGTTCGCCCTATGAAGGTCATCGCCTAGCTCCGCGAACTTAGGTGAGACTAACAGGCTTTCGCCCTACGAAGGTCGTCGCCTAGCTCCGCATGCTTAGGTGAGACTAACAGGCTTTCGCCCTAACACATTCAATACAAGAGAAGAATCCAGCTGATAAAACTTAAAAAACAATCTCATTATTGGTGTTGTCGAAAGAACAAAAGCAAACAAAAATAAACTTAAATAACACTTGTTAAGTTAGACATAATATTTCTTCAAATGGCATATGTTCCAGGGTTGCACCAACAGCCGCCCCTCCGCATCACGAAGCTCGAAGGCACCTCCAACGAATACCCTCTCAACAGTATAGGGTCCCTGCCAGTTGGGCTCCAGCTTCTCCACATGCTTCAGAGCATCGGCCTGACGCCCAACCAAGTCCCCGACCTGGAAACGCCGAGCTCAAATTGACTTGTCATGGGCAGCCTTCATCCGCTGCTTATAAACCGCTGTCCTCAATCCAGCCTGGTCCCGCAACTCGTCTACCAAGTCCAGTGCCTCCCTTCGGAGCTCCCCGTTCCCTTCTTCTGTGTAGATGCTAACCCGTTCTGAGTTGAGTCCGATCTCAAATGGGATGACGACCTCCATACCATAAACCAAACTAAATGGAGTCTCTCCTGTTGAGGTCCTCGGCGTCGTCCGATATGACCAAAGCACCGAATCAAGTTCGTCAACCCAAGCTCCTGAAACTCTTTCCAGCCTAGCCTTCAACCCATTCAGAATTGACCTATTAGCGACCTCGGCCTGCCCGTTTGCCTGGGGGTGGGCTACCGAAGCGAATTGTTGTTTGATGCCCATCTTCTCGCACCAACTCATCGTATGCCGACCCCTGAACTGAGTGCCATTATCAGATATGAGCATTCGGGGTATGCCGTATCGGCAGCAGATTTTATTGAAAAGAAATTTTATCATCCTCTCTTCTGTGATCGTCGTCAATGGCTCGGCCTCAATCCACTTGGAGAATTAATCAACTGCCACAATTAAGAACTTTTGTTGGCCCGTTGCCTGGGGCAAGGGTCCAACTATGTCAACCCCTCACTGAGTAAAAGGCACGGGCCAGCTGATTGGAACCATGTTTTCCGCCGACCGATGGATCAATGGACCATGCTGCTGACACTTCTTACATTTGCGCACAAGATCCTGTGCCATCGCCTTCATCTGAGGCAAAAAATATCCAACCCGCAATACTTTCCCAACCAGCGCCCTAGCCTTTATGTGGTCGCCACAGCATCCTTCGTGCACCTCCCTAAGCACGTACTCCCCATCTTGTTCAAAGACGCACGTGAGATGAGGCCCCACATACGATCGTTTGTATAAGACCCCATTATGCAAGTAGAACCTCAACGCTCATCGCCCGACCGGGTCGTCCCTGATATCCTTTCCCGCGACAGGCTCTTGCAACCATTGTATTAAGGACGACCTCCAATCCCTTTGCTCTTCAACCTCCAGCACCAGGTCTAAGGTGCTCCTAGTCATATCCATCAGCGTGATCGGTAACAAACAAGTGACGTGACCATTTTCAAAAGTGGGTCGGCCCTACCATTTTCTCCTCGCGGTATCTGTATCAACTCCCAAGTTACAAAACTCTTTAACATCGCATGGACCTCCACCAGATACTTCATCATGCGCTCCTCCATAGCTTCATACTCACCCCTGATCTATTTGACCACGAGCTGAGAGTCTGAGTGAATGATCACCTGCCGAGCTCCTTCCTTCAAGACGAGCTGAATTCCTTTGATAAAAGCATCGTACTGCGCCTCATTGTTTGACACTCTAAAGGACAGCTTAACCGCATACTCTAAGTGATCTTTTTCTGTTGTGACCACTAAGATGCCGAGACCCGCTTCTCCTATTTCCGACGAGCCGTCGATATACACTATCCATGGTCGAACCACAACTCCCACCGTGCACTCCTATATGAAATCTGCAAATGCTTGGGCTTTGATGGCTTTCCGCACCTCGAAATGCACATTGTACTCGCCTAGCTCAACTGCCCACTTCACCATCCTCCCAGAGGCGGAGCCACGACCCAAAGTGTTCTTAAGTGGGTAATTGGTCTGCGCCATTACCTTATGCGCCAGAAAGTAGGGGCGCAACTTCCGAGTAGTAGAGATGAGCGCGAAGGCGGCCTTCTCCACATCTGAATACTGGCGTTTGGTGCCTTGCAATATCTGACTAGCATAATATATTGGCTTCTGTTGCCTTTGCTCCTCCTTTATCAGCACTGAACTAATGGCTTCGTGCCCTACCGGTAGATAAATGACTAATATATCGCCTGGCTCCAGTTTTGTAAGTAAGGGGAGCTCGGCTAGAAACTCTTTTAACCTCTCAAATGCATGTTGAGCCTGCGACGTCCATTCAAAATGAGATCCCTTCTTCAGGTCCTTAAAGAATGGAAAGCTTTTTTGTGCAGATTGAGCTATGAACCTACTCAACCCTGCTAGGTGCCCGGTGTGGATTTGCACCTCCCACAAGCTCCTTGGTGTCTGCATCTCCATGACCGCTCGCACATTTTCTGAGTTGACTTCTATGCCCCTCTCCGTCACCAGGTAACCCAGAAATTTTCCCAACCTTACCCCGAACTTGCACTTGGCCAGGTTGAGTGTCATGCCGAACTGCCACAATGTGGCTAAAGTCTCACGCAAGTTTGCCACATGGTCCTCTACTTTCCTACTTTTTACCAGCATGTCATCAACATACACCTCCATGTTGCGACCTATCTGCCCTTTGAACATTTTATCCACCAACTGTTGATAAGTGGCTTATGTATTTTTCAATCCAAAAGGCATGACGACGTAGCAGTAAGTGCCCTTGGATGTCACAAAGCTAACCCTCTTCTGGTCCTCCTCGACAAGAGGGATCTGGTGGTACCCCTGAGAAGCATCCATCATACTCAACAACTCGCATCCGGCTGTAGAGTCGACAAGCTGGTCGATACGTGGTAGGGGGTAATGGTCTTTAGGGTAGACTTTGTTGAGATCCCTGAAGTATATACACATCCTCCACTTTCCTTCTCCCTTTCTCACCATAACTGAGTTGGACAACCACTCCGGGAATTGGATGGATCGTATATGCCCCGCCTTCAACAGCTTCTCCACCTCAATTTCAATAACCGCATCTAACTCAGCACCAAAATGCCTCCTCTTCTGCTAGACCGGCCTCACGGTTGGGTCGATGTTCAACCTGTGCTCTGCCACCCCGGGACTGATTCCGGTGAGGTCGTCGGTCGAAAAAGCAAACACATCCACAAACTCTCTCAACAATGCAATCAGCGTGCCTTGAATGTCGACCGCCAGATGCCGACCTACCTTGGTCGTCTTTGCAGGGCTCCCCTGTATCAATTCAACTTCCATCAGCTCATCCTGGGAGCTCATCCCCAATTCTTGTTTCTTCTCCTGGTGGGAACACTCAGGTAGGTCATCCCTCATTCTCTTATTCTGCGCCTCGGCTGCCTTCAATGTGACCTCATAACATCGCCGAGACTGCAGCTGGTCTCCAGTCACCCTCCGACCTCATTCTCTACGGGGAACTTAATTTTCATGCAATAAGTGGAAATGGTTGCCTGGAATGAATTCAAGCTAGGCCATTTTAATATGATGTTGTAGGCCGAGCTAGCATCCACGACCAAAAACGGACCATCTTCACCTTCCTCAGAGGCAACCTTCCCAACGCAGAAGTTAAGCTAACTTTGCCAACGGGGCGAACCTCGCTGCCGCTAAAGCCATAGAGAGCAGCGTGGACTGGCTCGACCTTCACGTCCAACTCCATATGTTGCAAAAACTTTAGAAAAATGATTACCGCCGAGCTTCCTGTATCTATAAGCACCCTCTGCACATCATAGTTAACCACCTCTGCAGTGATAACCAAGGCATCGTTATGCGGGACAACAAGTCCCTGCACACACCAACTCCAAATAGTAGAGTAGCCGAGGTCTTCTGCACCTGCACCTCGACCACTTCATTAGCAGCACCCTTTCCTCGGTAAGTCCTCTTCTTTTCCCTATGAGAATCTCTATTTGTAGGACCCCCCGCGATCACGTGTATGACTCCTTTTTTGATTGGCATGTCGGGTTGCTCATTGGTCCTCCTCCGTTTGTCACCCGTCTCAAGCCCTTCACGACAATCTCCCTGGCGCTCCTTATCGTGATTACAAACTCCTTTAAGTTGCCAGCCCTGATGAGCCGCTCAATTTCATCTTTCAACTCTCGGCAGAAATTAGTAGAGTGACCATAGTTGCGGTGGTACCGACAGTATCTATCCTTTCCGGGTGAAAACTTTCGCGGTGGGGCAGAGGTTTGGGTTGTGCGAGCAATTTTTCCATCATCTCCAGGATCTCCTGCTGTGGCGCATTAAGTGGTTTGTAATGCTCGTACCTCGGACCCCTGAACCGATCCTCAACATTGGACTTCTTAGCAGTAGTTCGGCGATCACTCTGTCAAGGCTTCTCGTCCACCTGCTTGGCCTTTGATTTGTCATTCTGAATGAAATCCGCTTCAACCTCCTCCATATTCACATATTTGCTACACCTTTCGAGGAGCTCATCAAAGGGCCTCGCAGGCCTCTTTGCCAGTGAATCCCTGCATTTATCGGGCCTCAACCCCCACATGAGACCCCCAACCTTTATCTCTTCCGAAGCAGAAGGTACCTCCACACACTTATTAGTGTACCTTGAAACGTACTGGCGCAGACTCTCCCCCTCCTTCTGTTGCATGTTGATTAGTGAAAGATACGTCTTCTCATGCTTCCTAGCACTCGTGAACTGGTTTAAGAACAGAGAACTGAACCTTTCAAAGCTGTCAACAGAACCGGGTGGCAACTAGTGGAACTAGTCATGTGCTGAGCCCTTCAAAGTAGTTAAGAAAGCTCGACAACTAACCGCATCGCTATATCGGTGCAGGACCACTATGTTATCAAATGACCACAAGTGTCTAGCAGGATCTGCCGACCCATCATATGACAGACTTAGCTCTCTAAAGTTATTCGACAAGTCTCCACCTTGCACCTCTTCAGAAAAAGGATGACCATGCGACTTGGCAACCCTTTTCTCTTGGAATCGGGCTTGCATCTCGCGCATTTGTTCTGCTAGTCTCTCCAGAGTCAACCCCTCCTGCTGTGCTACCAAGGGTTGAGATGTCGCCGACCTATCGCCATCCTCATCCTACCTTTCTCGTTGGTGCGTTTGGTGAGGGTGCAAGGACAACTGCTGATGCACGGGTTGCCTTAGCGATTCATTAGCTCGCCGATCAACCTCTTCAGCCCGCCCTATNATGTATCGTTTGATCTCCTCTTGCCGTCGAGGAGTTGCCTGGGGGGTTGGTTCCTCCTGCTAAGACCATCTGTTGATTGTTTGGTTGGTTGGTCCCTCCTGCTAAGACCATCTATTGATTGTTCAGTGGGACCACCTAGCCCGTGTTCCCATCAAGGAGCTGGCCGACCTGACCAGTTCCTCCACTCGTTGCACCTCCGAGCTCCTTCTCTTTGTTATACCACAAATACCTGAACCGCTCGACCGCCCCTCTCGAATTGGATTGAGCTTTCTTGATCATTGGTACCTGCAAAACATGCTGGGGGTGGTCCCGGCGTGGATACTTCGACGCTCAAGTCAGTGGTGTATCCGAGAGAAAACGGCAGAGTAACGAGATAATGCGTGTATGTGTGTTGTGTAAATAAATGAACCTGTGCCCCTTTTATAGTTGAGGCAGCTGACTCCTGGTGAAGCAAGAAGTCTTCTTCATATGTACCACTTAGTTAGGTCAAAAGAGTCCTTGAGGTTGTGAACCTCTTCATGACTTGGTCACGAAGCCACCTCCGGGCCCTGGTCCCCTCGGCAGAACCCTCTGGCCGAGCTTTTCAGAGGCCGAAGTGCCTAGCCATCTAAGATGCCTAGCTGCCTAGGCGATCACACTCGCCTAGCTCGTCACTCTTAGTATACCGCCTAGCTCACGCCAAGCTAATCTCCACCTAGCTGGTCGAGCTACGCCTAGCTGGTTGAACCATGCCTAGCTGTGACCAAGTTCGACCTATGACCGGTCCTTATGAACCTCTACATATGGCCGTATCAGGTAGATTTATTGTCAAACACCTCATGTTCATAAAACTAAAAAAAGTACAACCACACTTCTCACATCCACCACTAAATTCGACGACAACACAATTAAGTAGATACAGGTTAACTGGTGAGACTAATTATTATTTGTATTAGTATTCTTATTATTATAGCAATTATTATTATTTAATAATTAGTATCTTAGGGAATAAGCTAAGGTATAATTTGAGGGCTCTATTTAAAGGGATCTTAGGCTTTGTTATCGTTGGTTGATATTTGAATGAAATAAGATATTGTGAGTTTTGTGTGTTTTACGAGAGAGTATCTCGTTTATGGTCCCACTCGTACGCTTCCCTACATTAGTTGGTATCAGCAGTCAGTATGATTCGCGATGTCGTCAGAACGACAAGATGCCGCAAATGAACACCGTGATGTAACCTTCAACGATCGGTTTAAATAGATTGACTACCGGTTTCAAGAGTTGGACGTGTGTTTAACGGATTGGTTTGTCGATCTTTCGACGGGGATCGAGAATTTGCATTTGACGCTTAACAACCTGGTTGTTTCGGAATCGCAGACAAACCGTGATGGGGTTGTGGGCCGTGGCTTTCGCGGGGGAGACAGAAGCGGCTGTGGGGGACGCAGCCATGTCGAGGCGCCCCCGCAGCAGTCCCCGCTCCCTCTGAATGGCATCAAGGATGGCGACTGTACCTGGTCGGCTGACCCATTGGCAGATCGACCACCATGGCGAGGAGACGAAACCACATGTCAGCCCCGACTTTGCGAGCAGTGGCGGGCTGGAGGTAGTTTCGTGCATAGCGGCGACAAGAAAACCCTAGGTGCGGTCCGATTTCGCATCCAACGATGCCCTAAGGAGTGTTTTGTTTGCCAAATTTCACCCAATCGCGCAGCCCTAGACGACAATTTTCCGCGAACTGCTTCAGTCTTCAGCCAACATCGAGAATTTCACAGACGGGGGCTCGCTCGAGAGGGCTCAGCCTTCGCTGGGTTCGAACTGCCGCGCCGCCGCTGGGACGACGGGTACGAGGTTGCCGGCTACGGCGGTGTAATGCCCCGTTTGATTATGAAATATTTGGGAATTAATTATCATTATTATTATTATTATTATTATTATTATTATTATTATTATTGAATGTCTAATATTATTTATTTTCCAAATTGAAATTAAATGGCTAAATGTCTAAATATTATTATTTGATTAATTGTAATTGAGCTCATAAATGTGTATTTGTATTATTATTAATACTATTATATTTTTTTAAAATTGGTTTGTGTGTATTATAAATATATAAGTAAAACCCGGTTTATAAATTTAAATTGTTGAGCCCGAGTTAAACCGAAATCCTGAACCGGCCGACCCGTAAAACCGAACCGGCCCAGACTAGGTCCGCCCCTACCCGCGTGAGTGTGTGTTAGTGTGTGTCTTGTTTGGCAAGATAAAAACCCTAAGGCTTATACCTATATCTCGCTCGATCGATCAGAGGACATCAAACCCGCAGACACAGATATATCTCACGTCTTTCTTCTCTCGCGCGATTGAACTCAGAAACAGATCCTTCCCCTCTCATCATCGTTTTCCTCACGCCATCATCTCCCCTCTGCAATTTTGATCATCATCATCGCCTCTCGCCATCACCCTTTCTCTGCAAATCTGATCACCATCGCCACTTACCGTCGGGCATCATCACAGCGGCGACCTCTCCGCGCCGCGAGCCCTCTCTCTTGCCGGCGAGCATCCAGAGCGTGAACCCATATCCGGAGTGAAGCCCATTGCGAATCCCTGTTCCTCCTCCTCCCTCGTCGTGAACCAGTGATCCCAGCCGCGCCGCGACACCATCGCAGCAACCAACTCCGGCAACCCCTGTTCGCGAATTTCCGGCGAACTACTGTCTGCCGCCGCAACCTTCGCCGCCAACGAACTGTTGCTCCCTCACGCGACTGCGATGCCACAGCTGAAAGCCCTCCACACACGCGACTGCTTGTCCTCTCCTCCGCGAGATGAATCTTAGCCGGTGAGCGCCACCGTGTGTTTGCCGTCGATCCCGGTTACCTCCATCGTTCCGTTTTTCAAACAATTCTCGAGAACGGTACAAGGCTCGAAACCCCATCTTGTTGAACCTTGCATATCGTTTATGTTATGTGTGTTGAACGTGCTTTATGAATATCTATATGTGCCTTATATTTTATGTGTTTCGTTTTCGTTCAATAATAATTGTGTGTAGAGGATCTCTTCGATTTTGAGGAATCGAACGAGACTTCATTAAATCGTGTGATGTGCTGTGGATAATGGAACCTTGTTGAGTCTTTTGTCTTATGGCGAAGGCCTTGGACGAATTGGTCGAGTATTGAGTCGTTTGTGATTTTTCGAAACCTCACTAGGTGCTGAATATTTGATAAATTCATAATAAATTGCATACTGATCTGATCGATGTGGAATTTTGTGTGACGATTCCTGTGTTGATTATGTAGCTCAAGCAAACATTTCATAATTTAATGTGGTCTGAAGCCATTTCAATAAATTAAGATGATTTCTGGTCAGACATGTTAAATGCATAATAAATTGTGTTAGTGCTCCAAATTGACCGAAATTCGAGTATGTTGTGTTAGCTTGTTGGGTAAAATTTTCATAATTTTTGGACTTTGTTAGCTTAGGTAAATAAAATATTTTGTGTTTCTCCCAAAAATTGTTTTAATTATGATAAATTGGTCAGTTGCTGAAAACTTCTGGTATTTGGCTGAAGTACTTGTTTTATGTGGTTTTTCATGTTGTTAAAAGATTAGAATTTTTGGAGTTCAAATTGATTTGGTTTTTATTAAAATTCGAAAACTGCAGGATTTGCATGAAAGTTTAAAATTCGTGTAGTTGATGTCAATGGCTGAAATTTTTACACGTTGTCATTCACATGTTGTAGTTTATGGTGTTAAAATGTCAACTCCTAATTCGTTCAATAGAACTGGATGTGAATTTATGTTCGTATTTCAAATCCGATAACGCTTTTCTTTTCGGTATGCCGCTCCGCGAGCACAGCGAATTCACATAAATCAACATAAATATATGAGAAGAAGCCTTTTGAACCCAATTCTACTTATTTTTCTTTTATTGTTCTTTCTCTTCTTTCCTTTGTTGTGACACAAGGAGAGTGTGGTTATGATTCTCAATTTTTGACTTTCTGCAGCTGGAGTCAGGCGCCTCTTTTTCCACCCATCGGCGTTGCCGCTTGTGAGTTTGATGATTCTTCTGAAGAAGAAGATATGTTGAAACTTGGTGGTTTTACTAAGTTCTGGGAGGTGAATTTTTGGTTAAAATTTCAGAGCCTAACTCATTTGATAACCTGACCAACTCGTTTTTGTGATTAAAAACTAGTATTTTCAAATATATGGTTTTTGTATTAAAAATTGTAATTGACTCGCCTCCCATGTGTATTTGGTTGAGTTTAAGTGTCGAGTCTAAGTGTTCCAATGTCCACAGGACTACACGAACAACTTAGCCGAATCAAGTTCGACTAAGTATGATTGTGATTTCCGTTTAAGTCAAAATAGATGTTGATTATAGAATCTGGACTTATTGTAGGTGCTTGACGAGCCGAGCTCGCAGCTTATTCGTGCTTCTTTATTCTCTCCTGTTGTTGTCGAGGTGGGTTTTATTTAAAATTTGCTATATTGTAAATGTTATTAATGTATAATTTGTGGTATGATCAATGTATGCATGTCAACCGTGTAGCCTTCGATGCGAGTTGTACCGGCCATCGAACGGTTATCCCCGTAACTATAGAACGTACCCGTAGGGTAGTCTCCTTTTGTGAGTTGTAAGACCAGGGCTCAGGTCCCTAGGCTGGAGATCCTCGTTTGTAAGACCAAGGTGAGGCCTTGGCCGGCGAGGTGGTTTACTCCTACTGGCTGGCACTCGATGTAGGACCAGAGGGCATTCGATATATAGTCAACAGTAGTCTATGCGTTGGTGTGCACATGAGTCTATTATTGATATTATTGATGGGAGATTGGGATAATTAATTGATTCGTATACATGCTGCGACCATACCTGACTTATTTATGATTATTGTCTTTATATATTGATTAATGTTTACTGCATAGTGGTGAGCACTACTTTTTTCAACTGTGCTCATCCCCACCTGATATTAACGTTTCAGGTTGAGCGAGGCAGGTATGACGGCGGAGTAGAGCGAGTTGTGGTCGGTCTATGAGGCCGGTTTTATTATTTGTTTTGCTTTCGCACCATGAACTGGTTATAAGATTATGAACTTTGAATATTGATGCATACATGATTTTCGGATACTGTTGAAATAATGTTAAAGAGATGCTCCTTAGAATCTATGAATATTGTTGGAACTCGGTTTGGGTGATTTATGAATTTTTGAAAAACCCGTTTAGGGAGTTGGAAATATTGTTGATGATTGATTGTGACGATTGACTTTCAAAAAAATGAGTAACGCCTTAAATATGTTTGAATTAAATTTTGAAAAATTTATTCTGAATGCGTGATCGGGAATTTTGAGAGATAGAGAGTGTCTCGATTTGAGCGAGAAGAGACGCCGAATGCGTGATCGGGAATTTTGTCACACTTTTGGGCCTGTGTAGGGATGGCTGAATTCATTTTATTGGGCTCAGGGAAAAGACGGATTAAATCCTTATTTTGGGCCTGAACAGCCACAAAAGGCTTTGACTTCGCGTTTATAGATTCCCCAGATTTCGACCCCGACATGTGCGATATCTACGACGGTCCGCCAATTTTTTATGAGGAACCTCCGGTAAACAAGACGTATTTTTGCGGCACTATGGCTCCCGCGCAGGAAGTCGCAGGGATTGAGCTTTCGAATGGGACGCTGTCACTTACATCCGATTGAGTATTTTGGTCAATGATGGCTTGTCGGAGCCGAAGTCGAGACTCCATATCTGGTGGGCCATTTTTCGATTGTTGTTCCCGAAGTCTCCCAACACCGGGATGCTTGGCGTAGTTATGGATTTATGCGCGGCGAACGATGTGGTCTGTTTATTGTTAATTCGGATGTGTGGGCTTTGCGTATGGTGGCGTGTACATGTGACTTTGCAGCAGTTGAGTCCTTGACCGAGATTATGTTTACCTTCGAGGTTGTTGGAAGACCTTCAAACTTCGTGTTCGATCACGGGAAATGCTGGGGTATTCTTGTCATGGGGACGACTCCAACGGGAATGGGTCGGATTCAAGGACGAATCCTGCTCAATCGGAGGAGAATGGTGCAGACTAATTATGATTATTATTAGTATTAGTATTCGCATTATTCTAGCATAATAATAATTAGTAGCTTAGGGAATAAGCTAAGGTATAATTTGAGGGTTTTATTTAAAAGGATCTTAGACTTTGTTATCGTTGGTTGATATTTAAATGAAATAAGATATTGTGAGTTTTGTGTGTTTTACGAGAGAGTATCTCGTTTATGGTCCTACTCGTATGTTTTCCTACATCATTAACGCACCCAAATCACACGTTTGTGTGCGCAGCGTGAAGATAACGAGTACAATGAAGAAGAAAATAGAAGATTGAAAAAAAAATCTCTGCGAATCTAGATAATAATAAAAATAAATTGTTTGGACATTAGGGATTAATTGACATAAAATTAATGGATGGAACCTTATTTAGATGTTTACACGTCGAATTCGATAACTAGCTTGCTTGGTATAAAAATTTATTTTGATTAGTATTGTTACTCTAGAAAGCTAGTTTTAATAAAATATATATAACAAATAATTGTTTATCAAACAATTATCTGTAAGTCGTTTATACAATTTATCAACCATTACGATTCGCTATCTAACTCTCATCTAATACCATCCGTTGTCTGCTCTGCTGTGCAAACCATTTTTCCTTAAAACCTTACTATACTAGAACTTTTAATTGATCAAAGTCTACCAGCAAAATCCAACTATTTGTACTCATTGTATATAGACCCTTCCTACATTCCACACACTAAAGGTCTTGACTATATTCTAAAATTCTAAATTATTCCAGTTATATCAGACAGCTTTCTTACTTTGTCAAATGTAGTCATTAGTTTGAACATATACGGCGGCCCAAAAATCCGGCAAACGAATTGACAACCTCCTCATTCAACGACACAATATGTAGAGAGATAAAAAGAAACACGCTTTAGAATTTCGATATTACACTTCATAATTACTTCCACATAGAATTTTTTAAGTTGAATTTTTTAATTTAATTATTTATTTTTTAAAACTAATTTCACAAATCTGTAGTAGAATAAATCTTAAAATGTGAAAAAAAATACAACGAACTAAAATATATGACATGATTTAAGGGTATTTGACAAACGGTAATATTAGATAATTAACACGTGAATTTTTAATTATCTAGAATGACCTTTATTAGTAGAAGAGAGGGTAGTCAATTCATATAGATCACACAAAAAAAGGGGTCATGACATAAAAACATATGTATTATTACATTACATCCATGGAAAATCTTTGATCCATTGAACCCCATCATTACTGAAATAAAAACCATCCTCTTTAACCATCCAAAGGCAAAGTCTGCGTGGGCCGCACTTATACCTATCTCGACTTCCGTCAAATGCTTTGAAACTTTTCCTGGTTCGGTCCCATTTGACGGTGCACACAAACTCATGATCACGAATACTCCAGAAGGCGGAAGGCTCGACATCCCAGCTGTAATCGTCTCGTTCTTGAAGGGCCCTTCCACCAATGTCACCCGTCTCACGAGACACGCACCAAACAACCAACGGTACAGATGAGTTGTTTGAGAAGCCATTTATCACGCGAACATCGTAGTACACATCCTTATCGCGAGCCTGTCTCAATAATAAAACACAGCCTAAGAGTAAGATGAGTAGTAGTAGGAGTACTAAGCTTCTCATGGTTTCATACCTTTTATTCAGGCCAATATGTATATATAGATTATTTGAAAACCACTCAATTTGAAACCACTCAAGTTGCAAACTTAATTGTCAAAGCATAGGCTCTTTATTCAAAGGGGCACTTCAAATAATGAATGACTACTACTAAAAGGTGGATAACTATATTTTTCAATCCAAAATAAAAATTATTTCACTTTCTTTTTGAAGTGTGCAGGGATAAGTTGAGTACGCAGAATGTAGCAACAAATATATATATATATATATAGAGAGAGAGGATCATATGAGAATGACCCTTAATGCCAGAAATGAGAATGATCATGGACCATTAGATCAATTATATCAATGAACATGATGAAGTCAAAATTGATTTATAATGGTCAAATAGTAATGGCAAAGTTGTAATTATATTACAAGATTATGGACAAATAAATACATTGTAGGACAATTGTGTATTTTCACCGATCAATAAATTCAGTGGGCCCCACCATTATGGCTAACAACCCTCTCTCTCCTCTCTCCTCTCCCCTATATTCTCTCTTTCTATCTCACCGTCTCTCCAGGCACTTTCTCTCCCCGACACCCGCCGGCAGTTCATCACCACCCGACCACCAGTTCGTCGATTCCAACCCACAGCCCGACCACAGCTCATCACAGCAAAACCGGATCCGCTGCGCCGCCGTCCGCCACCAGCAACACCACCTTACTCCGCTTGTCGCCGTCCACCGCCGACCGCCATAGCCGACGACCACCTTGCTGGAATAGATCTGGCCTTCCTCAGACACCATACCTGTCTTTCTTCGTCCTCGCCGGAGGTCCACCCCGTCAATATGCTCTCGCCGGACACCATCGAGGTCGACGGAGAAGATGACAATGGAGTCGGGAGCGAGCGCTGTTGCTCCGACGAGGCGGCAGATATCCAAGCTCAGGCCCATGGCGACGCCGGCTGCGACGTCGATAATGGTGCCGTGAATTTGACCGGCAATTGGAGATGGTGACGGGAGGGAGTTTTGATTTGGGGGACTTGTGTTTGAAAATTAGATGACATTTAGGGGTATATTTGCAATTTTAGTATTTTTAGTATATTTTAATTTAGGTCATGGGTATAATTTGTAATTAACAAATTTTAATTAATATTTTAATAATTTTCATTTATTTTATGTTGGTTGGATCTCGTTCGATTTTGTGCAATTCGGTAGTCAATTATGTGCAATACGTATAGTAATAATGTGCAATCGCAACACGTAAAAAATGCAGATAAAAAAGTAGTGTTATAACCGGTAATATTTTTTTCATATAGTTCGACATGTTCGATTATGCTGTATATTTTAAAAACTAAATCCGACATTTAACCAACCAGTATTATTTGATCGATTATCATAATTATTGTATTTTTTTTTGTGAAAGCGTGTTGTTTTATAAAGTGCAACATTATATGTTAAAAAGTGCAGCATATTGTTGTATAAAGTGCAACGTACTGGTATATAAAGTGATACTGAAATTTTGGTACGTTAGCAACTTAGCATACAGTTTTTTTTTTTATTTTCTTTTTTTGTGGACAAATGATATGATAGATATTAAATTATTTTATTGATCCGTTTTTAGATTTATATTGCATAATAATTTGGCGGGAGCTGTTGACATTAAATATGCAATGTGTTGATAAAGTGCAACGTGCTGTTTTATAAAGTACATCGTGCTGATATATAAAGTGCACTACTTTATGCAATCAAATATAAATTATGTGTTTTTGAAAAATAAATTTAGTAAATATAATTGCACATCAAATTGACCTAAATAAACAAAATAATTTATTATTTATTATTACCAAAGTATATTTATTATTTTAAGATTTTTTATATATTAAATTTTACATACTGAAATTTTATCAAATTATTTATATTGTAAAATTATATTTAATATTTATGATTTTGTAATTTTATATTTTATATTATTATTTGTTGAAAGAAAAAAATAATGTGCACTAATAATCATTCGATCAATCAACCGAATTATTATAAACATTCAAATGAATTATTATGTATATAATGTGCATTTTATTTATAGTTAATATACATTTATTAGACTTTCAATAAATTACAGATTTGACACTTGAACCAAATTGAAATAAATCAAATTTCATAAAATTGCAATTAAATCCTTGCAATTTATCTAATTTTCATAAAATAAACCCCACAAACCCCACCCCAAATCCATTCCCGCACATCCCATTCCTGCACATCCGGCCACACCCGCAGATGGCGGCGGCGCCGCCATATTCCCGGCGCCTTCTTATCCATCGACGTCGCGCACTCCCAAACGCCGTTGGCTTTCGGATGCTCGGAGAACGAGGTGGCGGAAAGACTGGTGGGAGTGGACGGCGGCGGGTTTGAATTGTGTAGACGCGTAGCGGCGGTGGCGGAGGGACATGACGGTCCTTTGGTGCAAGCTCTGGGTCGCCGCCTCCGGCAGGCCATGGGACGATGGGGGAGGTGACGAGAGTTGGCGCCGAGATGACCTTAGGCGGCTCTGTGTGCGGCGAAGTGGGAGGTCGACGGGTGGAAGAGTGGTGGAGGCGGCGGCGAACTGACAGCGGCGGACGAGCAGTGGCGGACTGACGGACGGCAGCACCTGAAATTTCACCATGACGGCGCCTGACCGAAGGTGGGAGTAAGGGTGGTAGCGGCGGCTGACGTGCGGCGACAGGCTGGCAGTGTTGGGCCGTGAATGTGTGTGTGTAGATTGTGTGTGTGTGTTTGTGCGTGTGTGAAGAGAGATAGTGTAGGGTGAGCGTGAGGTGGGGTGGAGTAGGGTGGGGTTGGTGGTAGGTGGATTAATGTGGTTTAATGTGGTAGGTGGGTAATGTTAGTCACGTGGATTATTGTGAAAAGGGGCCCACCTGTTTGGGGCTGGTGTGAAAAATTACTCTAATATCCTTAATGAAGGTATAATTTTGACTCTTTTTTAGACATTGGATCATCCGATCCGATGACTATAATTTATTCTCATTTCTCGCATTAAGCCTCATTCTCATGTGAGCGCGACCCTATATATATATATATATATATATATATATATATATATATATATAGGGAATGGTTCAGATGCGCCGGCTTTTTAAAAGTGAGGACGTGAGACCTGATCTCGTCCGTTCACACCTCATCTAATCTAACGTTCAGAATTAATTTATAACATTAATTTGTAAGAAATTTAATGGGTATACTCATAACTATCAGGCGGAATTGAATAAACCCTAAACATGTAATTCTATCAGTTCATAAAATATGGGTCTTTGCATAAATTAAATTGCACATAGAACTTACAAGAATCCAGCTTATAGTTCTTCCCTGTTTTCTTGATCTACGATGTTGATCTGCGATTTCTTCATCGTAATCTCGTGAATCTATCTTTCTCATAATCTCCAATGCCTTTTCCTATGAATTGTTTCTCTCTCCCGCGTCTCTCGTCTTTTCATAAAGCCTTTGATGTTGAGAACTTTATTTCGTATGAGATGGGAGAGAGGGGCATGTAGTATATATCGGAGGAGACCTACAAACCTATTCCTACTAATATTCCCCATGTTCTAAACCTAACTTACTATCCAAGTCAAACATCACAAATTGGACTCTTTAATATTAGAACATTAACAATCCATTAAATACATATTGACCTTAAATAAGTTTGACTATTAATTCAATTAGGTTCAATTAATTTATATGGTCCACAATAATAGAATAATATATAAAATATTAATACATAATTAATATTTCGCGGGTGGTTCGTCTTTCATCTCTTATACTTTATACTTTACTTTCCATCTCCCGCTTCGATTTTCGCATTTGCTCCTTGTTTCTGTTCCATTCTCTTTCATTTTTCGATTTCGATTTTACTTTTCGTCTCAATTTCTGTTTTCGTTTTATCGTTCGAAGTCTATTCTCGCAGATTCTCGGCTTAATCGTTGAGTATTTTTGCTGTTGTTTTTGTTTGTAATCACTTTTTCGATTTTAGGTTTTTCATTCTTTTCTTTCATAGATTAGAGTAATAGGTTTTGGTTATTTTTTATGATCTTTGTTAGTTTTTTGTAAGTAAATCCATGTATAAAGTATATATCATCCGTATTTGTAGGGTTCTGTTGGTTGTGTGTCTGAGTTGCAAGGTTATTGATGTTTAGTTGTAAGGTTAGGTGTCTATGTTGCTAGGTTAGTTTCTGATGCTGCTAGGTTAGTTGTCTTTTGCTGCTAGGTTAGTTGTTTGATGCTGTTAGGTTAGTTGTCTGATGTTGGGTTAGTTGTCTTTTGTTGCTAGGTTAGTTGTCTGATGCTGCTAGGTTATTTGTCTGATGCTGCTAGGTTAGTTTTCTGATGCTGCTAGGTTTTTTTTTTTTTTTTTTTACAAACAACGCCCCGGAAGGGCGGGGGATTGGGCTGGATCCCCAACCTGTGCATAGATTAGGGCCCCAAAATCTGAAGCCCAAACTATCAATGAACAAGATACAAAAGTTTAAGGAGTCTCGCAATCAAAGTCAAAAGAAAAACAAAAATGAAAAACCGAAAAACGAAAAAGAAACAAAAACTACAATACAAAGCCGATCTTCGGGCTAACAGATGCCCGATATAAATGTCTATACTAATGAAAACAGAAATCCTAAACTAGTGAAAGCGGAACGCTGGATATCCAAGCTGGTCCATCCGTACAAGAGTGCGAAGGCGGAGTGGAGCAGTGTCGGTCTGGAATGTATGTGTGCCTGGTATGGTGGCGCCAAGGCTGGCAAGGTAATCAGCCGGTCTGTTCCCCTCACGGAAAATGTGCGTGATCCTGTGATGGACTGACCGAAGTAGATCTTTAATGCGCATAAGCGGGTGCTGAATCTGCCACGAGCCCTGATGGCCCGAAGTCAGGAGGGTGGCGACAGCCGCAGCATCCAGCTCGATCCATATATGACTAGAGAGGTGGACAGCAATCTGAAGGCCAATCTGTAGTGCCTGAATCTCTGCATCGTAGCTCGAGGAAGCCTGAATGGACGCGTGGAAGGCGGTGAGGGCGCCGCGATGGTCCCGAATCAAGCCTCCTCCTCCGGCAAGTCCAGTGTGGTGATCAAAGGAGCCATCAGTGTTCAGCTTGACCCACGGAGAGTCAGGTCGAAGCCAAACAACAGCTCTGGCCCGAGGAGGCCGAACAAGCGGTGGTGGGGCCACCACGTAGCGATGTGGTGGCGTGCAGCCTGTCCAGTCTCGGGCCGTGAGCCTGCCCAATGCGATGAGGAGTGAAATGTGTCTCTCTACCTGCAAAACAATGTGAGAAAACATAAAAGTAATATCCCTATGCTTCGCACTATTCCATTCTGTCCAGGTGATCCAAAGGATCAGACAAGGAATGAGGAAGCCCACGTGTCTAAGGTGTGTGCTCTGTGAGAAAAAACTCAGAAGCTCAAAGAAACTGTATGTGGTGGGTAGGGATATATGTGTCCAAGTGGCAAAATGCTCCCACACTCTCCTCACAATCTCGCTCTCTAGAAAAAGGTGGTTAAAAGTCTCGGTTTCATGGCGTCCAGTCTCAGAACAACAAACGCACCGAGAGGGGAAGGAGATCCCTCTCGCATGAAGCACAGTATCGACGGGTATCCGGCGCAAGAGGAGGCGCCAAAGGAACACCGAAATAGTAGGGGTGAAAAGGTCACTCCATATGGCCCCAAAGGGGAGATTAGGCCGACCCCTCAACCTGATCTGCTCCCAAGCCGAGGTAGTAGAAAACACACCTGATGATGTAAGTCTCCATCTCATGCTATCTGAACCGTCCCCCGAGATAGGGATCTGATAAATGCCCGCTAAATCCCGCACCAGACCCCAACTCCCTATCAAGCTTCCCCCTATCCCACGACCCGTCCGTCCAGAGGTCACTCACAAGCAGGTAGGGGGAGTGCGACACCTGCATATCC